AGGTGCAGGTGCTGCGGGACAAGCTCTTTCTGAAGGGTTGGTCAAGTGCTCTGGCTGCTGCTCAGGTTCCTGAAGGGTCACCCTTATTTCAGGATGTCCCTGTTCTCTCGAGGTCTTTAGGTCCAAAGACTGCTGCTACCCCTGCAATTCTTTTGGCTAAGTTTTCCCCGAAAACTGATCTGCAATCAAGACTCAGGAGAGCGATGTTGCCAATGAGGCAGTGAACGTTGAAGGGGGAGGAACTTTGGAGGCTAAAGCTGTGAGAGATGTGGTTAAGGAAGCTTCTACTTCCCAAGAAGTTGGAGCTGCCTCTACTCTTTCTCCCCAAGATGGCCTGGACAAGATTGTGGACCCTGCTCCTGAGGTTCCTTCTGTTGATGAAAGCTAAAGTCTTCTTTGGAATGATTCAAAGTTTTTGCTTTTTCTCACTTTCTTTTGTTTTCATGTTATGTACTGCGACTTAGTCTTCCTGACGAGTTGTCCCCTCAAGGTTGCCAAGACAATTTTATTCTTTTTTGTTGCTATTTATGAGGCCAGCTGTGCCTTTGTTGGATAATGGAATTTTCCTTTTGATTTTGCGATCTGATGTTTTCTTGTTTTCATGTCTGAATGTTATCTGTACTGCTTGCCCCCGGCCAAGCACTGTTGGGACCTCCGAGCCGAATAGATGTTTGGTCTGGTTAATGAATATGTTGCATGGCTGTGCTTGGTTTTGTAATAAAAGAAAAGGGTCTTACTTAGATCCAGATTGGTTCTAAAAGAATAGTTACTGGCCCCCACTTGGAGCTAAGTAAGATCGGTACTGAAGACTGTGCTCTTTAGGCAGAACTGCTTGAGTCTGTTGTAACTTTTATAGCATAAGTGTATTGGAAGTTTACTCATGAGATAGTTTAGCCAAGTTTGTTCCAACTCTGTTTGTATACAGCAATACTGAAGTGTTGATGTGACGATACTTAAGAAATTCTGTGGACTCGGAGATGTTTACTTAAAATATGTTAGTGCGGTTTCCACCAAGCAGTTCCACTTGGCTAAAGTCCAATTTAGTTGCCAAACATAATTCCACCAAGCAATTCCACTTGGCATGTTCGAGTGCTAAATAAAATTAAATCCCGTTCAGTCGTTCTGAAACTAAGTCCATTTGGGTTAAGACCAAAGCTAAGTTCGTTTGATAAACATCAAAACTAATTCCGTTTGATAAACATCAAAGCTATTTCTGTTTGGTGAACACCAAAGCTGATTACAAAAATTTGATAAATTTGAGAGAAGTGGGGAGGCATTTGCATTGGTCAAAAGATAAATGTCTTTACATTCTGATAGAGAAGTTGAGGGATAATTCTATTGATTGTATTTCTTGAGATTTGCTACATTCTAGGGCCGAGGTATGGCTCTGCCTTTGAGATCCTTTAGGTAGTAAGCTCCATTTCCAGCAACACCTGTGACTTTGTACGAACCTTCCCAGTGACGCCCAGGTTTTCCTTTGCCAGGCACCATTTTGTGATCCATAAATTTCTTCAAAACCAGTTCTCCAGGTGTGAATTGCCTTGGGAAAACTTTTTAGTTGAAACTTTTGATGAGCTACTGCTGATATGCTACAAGTTTGATTAGCGCTGCTTCTTTTCGACCTTCTGCCATATCCAGTGCTTGTGCAATAGCTTCCTCATTACTTGTGCTTTCAAACAGTTTAGATCGGAGGGTTAGAAGACCAACTTCGAGTGGGATAATAGCCTCCATTCCATAAATTAGGGAGTAAGGTGTTTCCCCCGTTGAGCGCCATGATGTGGTTCGGTAAGCCCATAGTATGTGGGGTAACTCTTTAACCCATTTTCCTTTTGCATGTTCGAGCCATTTCTTTACTCCGTTGATGATGGTTTTGTTCGACGTTTCTGCCTACCCATTACTTTGTGGGTAGCCTGGAGAATAGTTCCGATATTCAATTCTAAGGTCGGAATAAAACATTCTGAAGATCTTTCCGTCAAACTGTGTCCCATTATCTGCAATTAGTACCCATAGGATGCATGCCGAAACGGAGCACGACGTTCCTCATGACAAATTGCTTTGTGTCCGTTTTTTTTATACTTGCTAGTGCTTTGACTTCAACCCACTTAGTGAAATAGTCGGTTGCGGCGATGAAGAATCGCTTGTTCCTAGTGCCTCATGCCAACAGTCTGACAATATCCAAACCCCATTGTGCAAAGGGCCATGGGCTGGTGAGTGGAGTGAGAGTTTTGGCTGGCTGATGAATTAGTGGAGCAAACCTTTCACATTTGTCGCACTTCTAAACGTACTACTGTGCATCTTGTTGCATTCGTGGCCACCAGTACCCATAATTGAGGGCTCGATGCGCCAGTGACCTTCCATCAACGTGGCATCCACAAATCTCATCATGAATTTCGTAAAGAACATTTTCGACCAGATTTGGATGCACACATAAAAGATAAAGACCGAGGTAGGAGCGTCTATATAGTTTCCCAGATGGTGAGACCTAAAACCGAGCTGACCTATGTCAGACTTTGTTGGCCTCATTTTTATCTTCAGGGAGAGTACCAGATTTTAGAAAAACGAGTATTGGGTCCATCCAGCTTGGCTCTAGGTTACTGCAGAGGATTGGGGATGAAATACTTGATTCGGGTATGAACTCAACCCAAACTTTTCTAGCTTCTTTGGCGTCTACCGATAAGCCGAGGCAGGCCAGAGCGTCAACATGGCTGTTTCTGTCCCGACTGATTCGTTCCACTCGTATGGATCGAAATTTTTTGAGTAGATCCCTGGCCTTGCCTACATACATGGCCATTCTTTTATCTCGTGCTTCGTAGACCCCAGTAAGCTAGTTTACCACTAATGAGAATCATTGAAAACTAGGAGTTGCTGTGCACTGAAGTGTTCGGCACTGCGTAATCCAGCCAACAATGCTTCGTATTCTGCCTCATTGTTAGAAGCCTTCCAACCAAGCCTAGGAGCTTGCCCTCAAATAAATCCTTCTAGTGATACAAGTACTACCCCCACTCCCAAGCCTCGATTATTGGATGATTCGTCGACATAGAGCTACCAGATGTTTCCAATAAAGAGTTTTCATACTTCTGAAGCGCATTGCTTTCCCAGTTCGGTGGTGCGTGGCGCTTGTGCGGAACTGGAGTTCTCAGGCTCGGTACTTTGGATGGGAGCGAATTTTGCGATGAAATCTACCAAGACCTGGGCCTTGATTGCTGTCCTAGGTTGATATCGAATGTCAAACTCACCAAGTTCTACCGCCTATTTTGTTGTTCGGCCGGAGAAATCAGCTCGGCTGAAGACAGATCTGAGGGGGAATTCAGTGAGGACATTGATGGTGTGACCTTAGAAGTAATGTTGCAGCTTTTTTGAGGCGATGAGCAGTGCGTAAGCTAACTTTTCCAAGGATAGATACCGTGTCTCGACATGTAGTAGAGTCTTACTAACATAGTATACTGGCTTTTGTTCCTTGTTAACTTCTCAAATCAATACCGCGCTTACGGCGTGATCCAAGACTGCTAGATATAAGTACAGCTCTTCACCTGACTCTGGAGTGGACAGGAGAGGTGGTGTACTGAGGTATCTTTTGAGGCCTTGTAATGTTTCAGTGCATTCAGCACCCCATTCAACGCAGCCTTTTTCCTCAGTAACTGGAAGAAGGGCTTCATTCGATCTGAAGACTTGCTGATGAACTGATTCAGGGCGGCCGCCATTCCAGCCACCTTCTGTAGCTCTTTAGCCTTTGTTGGCACTTCAAGCTCTTGTATTGCTTTGATTTGATCCGGATTTGCCTCGATTCCTCTGTGAGTAACCATGTACCCCAAGAACTTTCTTGTTCCTACCCCGAAAGCGCATTTCGAGGCATTAAGGCGAAGTTGATGGTTTTTCAGGATACCAAAAAATTCTCTTAAGTCTACAAGATGGTTTATAGCAAGCTTGCTTTTTACTACCATATTATCTATATAAGCTTCCATGGCTTTTCCGAGTTGGTCTTTGAATATTCGAGTGATCATTCGCTGGTAGGTTGCCCCAGCGTTCTTGAGGCCGAACGACATTACTTTGTAGCAATAAGTGCCTTTTGGAGTGATAAACGCTGTCTTCTCCTGATCTGGTCCGAATAGTGGTATCTGATCATAACCACTATAAGCGTCCAGAAAACTCATACGCTCATGCCCTGCTGTTGAATCTACTAGTTGATCAATAAAAGGTAGAGGGAAACTGTCATTGGGACAAGCTCTGTTCAAGCAGGTGAAGTCAACGCAGACTCTCCATTTCCTGTTCTTCTTTTTTACTACAACTGTGTTGGACAGCCATTGTGGGTGCTGAATTTCTCTAATCGCTCTCGATGCTAGGAGTTTTTCAACCTCGACAATTACTGTTTCAGTGTGTTCAACTGAGGATCTTTGACTTTTCTGTATGATAGGCCGAGCAGAAGGGTTGATGTTGAGTTTGTGGCAAGTAAATTCTAGGTTCAACCCTGGAGTGTCATACGCTGACCATGCAAATACCTCCATATTTTCCCTCAGCAATTCCAGCAGCTGAAGTTTCTTATCAGCGCCTAGCGAGGTACCGATAAGCACGTACTTTTCTGGATCATCCTCCTTTACCAGGACTTTCTCCAAACCCTCTACTATATTTTCCTCTAGGGCTCCCCCTATATCTTCCAAGACTGGCTGTTCAGCTACTTCCACTGTCTGCACCCGATTCCAAAGTTGTTTAGCCTTCATTGTTGCCATGAAGCAATGTTTGGACGCGACTTAGTCCCCTGAGATCTGCTCTACTCCGTGGTCCGTTAGGAAACGGATAAACGGATGGTAAGTTGAAGGGACCGCTTCCATTTGGTGAATCCATGGACGGCCGAGTATGGCGTTATAAGGAGAATGTGTATTAATAACTAGAAACTCTATCTGGAGGGTCTTCGTTCCAGCCACAACCGGCAACACTATCCTGCCAAGTGGCCACTCAGGCTGTGAATTAAAGCCGACCAATGGAGCTGCCGTTGGAGTGAGGTGCTACTCGGAGAGACCGAGCTTTCTGAACAAGTTGTAATATAATATATCTGCTGCACTGCCTTGATCTACCAAGATACATTTCACGTCGAACCGTTTCCTAATTCCCACAGTTATAATCAGTGCATCGGTATGTGGGTGTTGAATGCTTTCTAAATCCTTTATAGTAAATGAAACAGTGCACAAGGGGGACTTGGGTACTGTGCGTACCTTTTTTGACGCAAGCCCTACTGACATGACCTGCTGAATTTGCACAGCCTTAGCAATTTCTTCTTTCAGTGCCTCTTCGCACTCCTGGGTTGTTGTTCCATGGATCACATTTATTACCAGCCGAGGAGGGTGCTCGACGTTTGGCTCTGGTGGTGGGTTCCCCTGTTCAGCAACCGCTTTATCCTGATCAACGTAGTCTCTGAGGTGTCCAACTGCTACCAGATCTTCCAAGTGTTGCTTCAGTGCTCTGCAATTCTGAGTCATATGCCCCCTGTCTTGGTGATAAGTGCATCTGAGCTTCTGATTACGCTGAGCTGGATCTCCTAACATTTTCGGCGGCCAAATAAAGAAGGGCTCTCTCTTGATCTTTTCCAAAATACGATAAATTGGTTCTTTGAATACGGTCACGACTGCTTCATGAGATTTGGAGTTATCCACCTCATTCACCGTGAGTCCCCGGTGTTCCCCTTGGTCTGTTCTTTTCTTGTGCTGAGTTGTTTGTTCTGTTGATGCTACCTCGATGGGGATCTGGTCATCTTCGAGGTGAGCGTACTGCTCAATCCTGACACGCAAATCTTTCAGTGCTGTGGCCAGGCGCTTGGTAAGTGACTGTCTCAACTTACTTTCCGGGCACAGACCATGTTTGAAAGACATAACAACCATCTGCTCACTACAAACGTTTTTCTCTAGGTCATTGTACTCTTCCCAATACCTCCAAGCATAATTGCGCAGCGTTTCTTCATGCTCCTTTCGGAGACCGAATAGTGTATCTGGCTCTTTTGGGATCTTAGTGTTGGAGACGAACTTGGCTAAGAACTCTTCGGAGAACTACTTCCAGTCATAAATTGATCTAGCGGGGAGTCGATCGAACCATCGAAGTCCAGATTCTCCCAAGCTGGACAGGAAGACTTTGCACATCAATGCTTCGTCTCGGCTCTATAGGGACATCATCTATCTATAATGGTTGAAGTGTGTCAACGGGTCTGACTTCCCGTCGTATGACGTGAACTTTGGCGGAATGAATTTCTTGGGAGGTCTCATGGTCTCAATTTTCGAGGAGAATGGGGAGGAAACAAGCCTATCCAACGCTCGGTGCTCTCTGGTGGATGGTACGGTCTAGGTGATCTTGACGTTGCTCATTTTGCTTGTTGCCAATCAGCCAAGTACGAAGGTCTTGAGGAGGGTACTTTGTCTGCTGGCTAACTGTCTTCTGTCTCTTAGCCCTTCTCCGACGTGAGCCACGGGTGTGGCTGCTCGCCGCCTCACTTTGTACCGGGATTGGTTGGCTTCATTGCCCAGACTCATTTCTAGGGATCTTCTTCACCGGTGGTTCTCTAGACGAGCTTCTCTGTCTTAGGCGAGAGGGCTCTGTGTTAGTCCTCTTCTCCGTTGGATCACCCAACACCCTTTTGAGTTGCACTTTCAGCTCCTGTATCTCTATCCCCATGGAGCCTATGATTCGATCTCTGTAATCCTTTTCTAGAAGAAAGTGATGAGAAGAACCACCAGCGAAGGATAATCGATGCTCAACAGATTCGGGGGTTCAGTTATTGTTTTCGGTTTGTTCTTCTAAAACTGTTGGGAGTGCCAAGGCTTTGTCCTTTGTCCTTTGTCTTCTCCATCTGTGGAGTCTGTGTCGAAGGTAGGATGTCCTCAATCTCCATCGCCAGAATCGAGTGCAGAACTTGGAGACAAAGTGATCCACGTTCACCGCACCAATTGTGCGTACCAAATACCGCACTAGATGATTGTGGATCGGAGCTCCGCACTTGATTGGACTATCCAGGGATCGAGGTCCTGCAGCAAGGAGCAAGGTAAGAGCTGCCTGGTCGGGGTTGGCCGGATAACCCCTCCGATGTGGGAATAAGTAATCGGAGAAGAAGTAAAGTGCTCCTTCAGTGTAGATTGCTGAGTTTCAGTAAATAGGGTTCAGCTTAGATCAGTTACCTCACCTGTGAAGTCAATGTAGTTTATATATATATATATACATCTCCTTGCTTGTTACCCAAGATGGTTTCATGGAGCTGTGGTGCTGCCAACTTTACTTTTAGCATTGCCCAAGGTAAAGGACCATCTGGTAGTTGTCAAGGGGTGCATATACTCATTGTAGTCATGCTGATAACAAACCACATTCCTCTGGTTTAACTGCTTCCGTGATTCTAGGTGTAGGGGACCAGCTGAGGTGGTAACTTGCACACACATATACTCACAGTTTCCATGTTTCTCTGAGAGGTTCCCTCAGCTTGGTACCGTTATGCTCGGCTCGGCCCTTTGTGAGACTATTGTAGAGATGGGCTGGCCTATTCGGATATCTTTGTATGGACTCGGCTCACTTTGGTTCTAATGATGGGTTCGGCCCATAGATTGAGTCTTGCAGCTCGGCCTAGCCCAGTATCGCGGCTGGACTGGCCTTTCCACTGCGAGTTGGGCCCAAGTGCTTGAAGATTTGAGTGGACTGTTGGTAATGGAGTTTGGTATAGTTGGCTTGCCCACACTTTCATCTGACCCATTTGGATTTGGGTTTAGAAGATTGGACCGACCCAAGGCTTGGATCTGACCCATTTCATATTTAGCCCCTTTAGAGTTTGTCTTAATACAGCATATGCAGTAGAAATATCAATGTTTAGATTGTTTCTATTATCAAATTTTATTAAAAATGATTTCATTAGAACTATGGCTGTTTAGGATTAGATTGGTAATTGCTAATTGTATGGGGAGCAAATATTCGTCACCGCCCATACTCCTCGTGTCCAAGTTGCACTTCTCTCTGACTGACCTAAGAACTCAGAGATGGTGAGCTACCCGGCAATGCGCTGTCGGAAAACCTCTCCGACGGTCAAATTAGCACACTTAAAGAGAGAGAAAAGAGATGAGACAAAGTGGTAGGTGAGCTCTGATCCCCAGATGTTCCAGACCTGTGCATGGAGGCGCAGCATCGTTTATATAGCTTTTGTGCGCGCTTCTGCGTCCATTCCTCTATAGATGCGTAGACCTACTCTCCTCTTACGTTCCTCCATGTGTCAGCGCTAATATAGCTAAACACCAAATGACAAAACCGCCAAACGATATTGATGCGTACAGATAGCGGAATCTTCTTCCTGCAGTCCTGTCACGTCACGTAGTACTTACTGCCGAGCTATGCTTAACATAGCGCCACGCCATCACCTTTTGACCATGTTACTTGTCCGGTCTCATCGGTAATTCTTGATCGCAGACTCAGTCGAGCTCCACAGTTACGACCGAGCTCCTGTTCGGTCGCATCTGGTCTTCCGAGGACGAACTCCGTCTGACTCGCACGACGCACATCTCCGAGCCGTACTAGTACCTCAAACTCACTTCACCGGATCGGGCTGATATCCCATCCCAACACATGCCACCCGCCTAACTTTCCTCTGCTCTCTTGCAGGTAATCCAGAAACAACATCTTATCATGGACCGGATTCATAGGCTCCGGCAGAAAGTAACCGATGTCTCTAATGCGGCCAAACATCTGGAGACCTAGCTGGGGCGGTCTAAGTCCTCCCTGGAGATGGCTAACGCAGATAACTCCCAATTACTCGACCAACTCAGCAGCACTAAGCAGAAAGGAGACGCTCTCCGTGCTGAGCTGAAAGAGTTAAAGAAGGCGAGCCAAAATGATATGGACGAGGCCAATAATCTTGGCTTCAAGGAGACTGAGGAGAGCTATACTAAACAGGTTGAAGCCCCCAAGGACATCTTCTTCAAGTCCAGTTGGAAGGCAGCCTGTGAGAAGCTCAGCCAAGGATCTGAAACCAATGTGTTCATCTTTCCTTCCTCTGCCTTCCTACCAGTCTATATGGTGCCTTACCAGTCTATATGGTGCCTTATGCGAATGACGTCTTCAACTCGTTGCAAGAGGAGGCCGAGGAAGAAGGTGAGGTAGAAGCCGAGCAAGGAGGGGGTCAGAATAAGACTGGCCAAAAAGAGCACGGTGATGCGGCTACCGTGGTTGACCTGGAGGAGACCGGTGCTGGAGTTGGAGATGCCTTTTTAGATCTCTCAATTAATGAAAATTTTGTCAACTCTGAACTTGGAAACGTATCTCTTCTTCCATTCGTGCAACATTGTCAAACGGAGCATTCACCGAGTGAGCCGAGCAGAACATCCCAGCCGAAAATTAAAAGTTGAACAAGTCATCAGCTTTTTAGCCAGGCAAAATTATCTCAGCTAAAAGTTCTGAGTTGGATAATTCACCAACTCTTTTAGGCGGGCAAATTCTCCTCGGCTAAAAGTTTGGAGTTGAACAATTCATCAATTATTTTAGCCAGGCAAACTCTCTTTGGCTAAAAGTTCGGAGTTGAACAATTCATCAACTCTTTTAGCCGGGCAACTCTCCTTAACTAAAAGTTTGGAGTTGAATAATTTATCAACTCTTTAGCCGGGCAACTCTCTTCAGCTAAAAGCATTAAGTTGAACAATTCATCAACTCTTTTAGTCAGGCAAATTGTCCTCGGCTAAAAGTTCAGAGTTGAACAATTCATCAACTCTTTTAGCTGGGCAACTCTCCTCAGCTAAAAGTTTGGAGTAGAACAATTTATCAGCTCTTAGCTGGGCAACTCTTCTCGACTAAAAGCGTAGAGTTTAACAATCCATCAACTCTTTTAGCCAGGCAAGCTCTCATTGGCTAAAAGTTTTGAGTTGAACAATTCATCAACTCTTTTAGCCAGGAAAAATCATCTCAGTTAAAAAGATTGAGTTGAACAATTCATCCACCCCAACAGCTGGGTAAAGACACCTCGGCTAGGAGAAAGTTGCCCCCTGTTCATTGCAATCCATTAACTACGACAAAATTTATAAGTTCAGTAATTCATTTATAGTACATATGGCTTTCATAAATTCACATAGTGACTGAGAGAATTATATCGGTAAATGGAGGGGAATGCTTGTCCTCCTCAAGCAAAAAATCACATTAAATATTGAAACTAAAAATAATCAGTGTGTTTGGTTTAAGTTTTCTGGATTAAGTTTTTTGAAAACTACGTTTTTTGTTTTTCGTGTTTTTTTATTTTTAGTGAATATTTTTAAAATTTTAAATATTTTTTTTTAGTTTTTTAGATGCACCTTACTTAGATGTATCTAAAAAGTAAAAAATTTGTAAAAAAATATTTTAAAAAATTATTAAATACATAAAAATACAAAAAATATACTGAATTCTCGTATTTTTTTTGTATTTTTGGTATTTAGTGAATTTTTAAAAGGTTTTTTTCACAAATTTTTTACTTTTTAGGTATATTTATGTTAGGTATATCTAACAATTAAAAAAATTGCTTAAAATATTAAAACAATTATTAAAAACAAAAAAGTACAAAAAATAAGAAAGTAGAATTTTCTGAAAACTGTTTTTAGAAAAACGAAACCAAACAAGTTGATTGGCCGCGTTCCACGGCCGGGGTATGGCTTTGCCGTCCAAGTCCTCTAGATGGTATGCCCCTTTGCCCGTCAGACTGGTTAACTTGTAAGGCCCTTCCCAGTTTACCCCTAACTTCCCTTCGCTCGGCACTAGAATGTTGCCCATCACCTTCCTCAGAACCCAATCCCCGACCTTGAATTGTCTGGGGTGAACTGTTTTGTTATTCTTTTTGGACAGTTCTTGTTGGTATGCTGCGACATGGATCAATGCCTTTTCTCGGCGTTCTTCTGCA